ACGCGATTTAAAAAACGAATAATGGCGACAAAAAGCGCCATCTGCAACGTTTCCTATTATGAGGCGTGTAATATTTCATACAATAATTCCGCCATTTTAACCTTACGCATTTACCAAGTAGAACAATGACACGGAATTATTGTGACAAATTTATAGAGAAAATTTAGTACAAAGCACAAAGGACAAGCATTATATACGTTTCTTCTTGTTGTACGAAGTAAAAGCGGTGTTGAGCGCAAATTAATTGGTCGAAAAGAAGTGCTTTAGAGGACGTTGGAAAAAAAGGCGGCTTACCTTGCTGAAATTCCGCGAAATAAAAGCCTGCCGGACAATGGGCGTTCTGCACCAGCCTGGAATTTCTTTTGCTCCTGCATTCTTCTTTAGTTTTGCGTGGTTTTTGTCAACACACTCGCGACACTTTCATTGAAACGAACACAACGCGTAACCGGCACGGCGGCAAGGAAAACTCGGAAGCAAATGCGCGGGCTTGGCGGCGCTGTATTACATTGAAAACAGGGACGAACTAGAGGGGGTACCAAAGGCGCCCCGTTATGTATCTACGTCGTAGACTTATTACCAGTTAATTATTTTTCTTCTTTCCACTTGATAAATTTTATTGCTTTTTTCTCTCTGGTCATAATAATGAGTACTATGAATGTAAAATAACATTTCTAATAAATCTGACTTAAAGATATTGTATACTAATCCTTACAAAAATATGGTATATTATATTTTTTTCATTTGTGATATTAATTATTTGTGCATTTAGGTAAGATTACTAATCATGGGGAATGAAACTGTTACTAAAAAATAAAACGGGTTCCTGGTTGCAATTTCAAAACAGGGTGGATACCGTCTCTAATCAGCCAATCACAACACAGGAATGAAGTAGACTGTAAATCGCCCATAACAAAGAAGGATCATAACCAGTATACAAAATGTCGTCACGTTATGAAGTGATTGATTTGACCTTTAAACAAAGTATATCGTAAAATACATACTTTAAAAAGTGTTAAGAAGCAATATCGCGTTATTTTCCGTAAGAAATTCGTATCCATATATCATACTATGTAAATTAAATAACCTGCGAGACTTTTCATTAAGAAAATCGTGTCAAAGGTGTCTTAACGTGCCGGTGATAGCGAGGTAATTGAATTTTACGGTGACTTACGAGTTTGCAAAAACTGTTCGTGTACTTAGTGTAAAAGACTTTTGTGCCAAATCATCGTTCGTGATAAACATAAGAATATTATTTTTTTTCGACAATCAATGGATTCAAGACGTTCAGCAACGGATTTGTAGGTAAGTTTATTTATGTATTTATTACTTAATTTTAAGCGAGTACCTGTTTGCAATTACTTTTAATTATAAATTTGGTATATATGCGAGTATTCTGTTGCAAAGTGTTCATTGGTTGTCTAAATACTTCACAGTGATAAATTAATCCTGTGGTTTTTACATTTCCAAACTGTTAACCTGTGAGTTACGAAAAATTCGTTTTCGGTTACGGTCAACTTAATTTCAGTGGCGATTAAAGCAGATTTTAAATTTCATCCGTAATTTAACGCTGGTCTATCGTTAGCAACAGAACGTTACGTTTTTATGTAAGTTTAACGAGATACTAGCTGCAGAGAGGAACGCGTTACGGCTGTAAACACAGAAAGTAAACACAGAAAAGTTTCGATGGAAGTCGTTGGAAATGTTTGGCCGAACTGCGCGTCGTTTACTATAAGTAACGATTTCAAATTAAAACGAACGGATAAAATTGATCGGATATCACGGTGACTTTAATACTTTGTATTTTATACTGCACTGAATTACAATGCATATTTGGCTATCTGAAAAACAATATTTTCTCAATAATAAAATTTATTTTATCAATGATAAAATAAGTGGTACTCAGCCATAATAAAAAAAAAGTATTGCGGATGTATTAATACGTGATTGATTAAAAGGCTACATACATAGCTTTATGACGATACAATCGTTGGACGGTGGTAAATTACAAAGAGCAATGGCGGAAGTCTTTGGTCCACTTTGTACAAAACGGGCGATATTACGTGATAGCTCGACGGATTAAACCGCGTCTGCTCTTTAAAATGCTATGTACTGTTAATCGATCCGACGGAAATTACGTGTCCACTTCGGTACACGGTGCCATTTTAAAAGCTGTACGCTTCCAGCCTGCAAATTGAATTCCAAAGTCGTTCTGCTGCAACGGTTAACTAACACTGTCGATGTTTGCGACAGGCAATACTGCAGCTGCTGTTATTGCGCGTAGAGAACGGGAACATGTGTAGGGGGAAAAAAGAAATGGAAGGCGAGAATATACATTTCAGCTCACGGTATTCGTATTTGTAATTTGTCCATAAAGGAAATTGAGCTCGTTCGTAATTATCCACTTTAACTCACGAATCTCGCAATGTTTCTCAACTATTGGTTCACGTACTTTCATACTTTTTGCAAACAGGGTGGAAAAATACAATAAACGTTCGCTGTTGTGTATTTCAGTACTACAATAATATCAAAGACTATGCTATGAAGCATTATATATCTAGAAATGATTATTTATTTAAAAAATAACGAAAAAATTGCTTGATTCAATATATCGGTTTAAAGTCACCGTAACTACTGAAATATTAAGCAGTATGCAAATAAGATTCAGACTTGCAATTACATTGTTTCTATAACAGGCAGTTTATGAAGTTTAATGCTGTTTATTGAAAGAAGAACGAATTGCTACACAGAACTGGGAATAATTTGTTACCCTCTGTAACTGCACCTGCTAATTGCCACTCTTACATCATGTTTTAAGGCGATTACGTATTATAAGTATCACTGGACCTTAATCCAACGTTGCCCTATATTCCTACAAACTAAGATAAAATAACGTTAATGCAGGCTATCTATCCACAATACATTCCCTTACGTTAGTTTTAAAACGATTATTTTTTCAATAATAATAGAAGCAAGTTTTGAAATTTTAAATTTTTTGAATAACAATAATTTTACTTAACACGTGTATCTAATTAAATTAGCTACACTACAGTTGTTGCAAAAGATATCATAAAAGGTATATAACCTAGTTGAACATATCGAACTGATACACCTAGCACATCAGCCTAAACGTGTTTACAATGCATCAATTTTATGATACGAGTAGCATTACCACCGTAGACTATTTCCCTTAATGAACGTTGCTCGCTTTTATCACACGCCATTTGTCAAATCATACTTTTGCCCCGTAGTTTCATGGCCCTCGGAAGTTTCCCACCCAAGCAATTTGTTTTCATTTCTGCTAACGATTCGCCTTCTCCGCGGCCCATTTTCCATTGCACTCGAATCTACGAATCCTTCGAAAGAGTGTAATCCTTTCTGAACGATCGATCTTGTTAATATCGCCACTACCATGAGAAGTTTGCGATGATTCGATGTAACTTTGATGCTTCTGTAGATTATTTGTACAAAAAATCTCAAAAGTTGAAGATTTTCATAGAAACCAAGCATCGGTAAAACAACAGTTTCGGACAGTAGAGTAAAATGGAAACAACAGTTTAAACATAAATTCGCAGGGTTTCTGAATAAATTCACCGATAAGATTGGAAAATTTCCGGTTTGATACCAATGTACTTAGGTATACGTTCCGAAGTAAAATCAATAGGCGAATGTAAAAAGCAACGAAACAAGAAAGTCGAAATCCATGAGAAAAATCAGTGTAGAGTAAATTTAGGAGCGGATAAGACGAAACAAAGTCAGAAAATAACGTGAAAGAAGAAAATCTGAAAACAATGCGTCCCAGGTATGCATGTATGCGCATACATACATACATACGTAGGTGCATACAACTGCATTGCGTCAGATGCATCGTGTGCTAGTTGAAATAACGATATGTCGTTTCGTCGCCTAGAATGCCATTGTGATTTGCTCCCGAGCAATAATATTACACGTTCTCCCGTCTATTTTACGTCTGACACTAAACTGCTGCCAGTTGCTACATAAAATTATTCGGGTCATTCCTTCAGCCAGTGAAATTTCGGTATTCCAAGTAAATTGAATTTATCTTCCCTTAGTTAAGCATTCCTCCTTTCCTGTTCGTTACATATTACTTTTACCTACAATAGAATCTATTTACTGTGCTCACTTTGGGACCTGCAATTTTTTTTTTTTTTTTTTTTCTTTTTTGCAGACAAAAATCCTAATTCGGTTCTGATCTCACCGTAATTAAAAGATGAATAAAATATACATTCAATATAAAATTTTATATATGTATATTGATTGTATTCTCGCGGAATTCGTAAGAAAGTACAGTATCACTAGTTTTCGTATACGACGAGCGACAATTTGCATTGTCAATATCGAGTTAGAGCGTTAAAGCGTTGGCAAGCTATCGTTCGCCCATGTTCCGCAAATCTCGCTAATTTTCGGCCGCATAATCACTCATTGAACAATCGGATGGGCAACCGGGGCCAAGTTCGGTAATAGGCCCGTAAGACGAACACACGGGACTATTCTGTACGCATTCTCCACGTTATGTAGCTCATGTTACATTCAATCTAGTCCGCTCCGAATTGCTATTCGCAAACAACGCGCGGTTTCTGCATACATGCATCGAATGTGCGGTTAATTACGATCGTGTGTGTACTAGAGAGCGAATGAAGTCGGGCTGGAGCTTCGTACATGTCGTCCCCTTATCGAGACTCTATTAATTGGATTTGAGTAATTTAATTACATAAGAAAGACCCATGGAATACCCACAAATTCATCTTACGAAGCGCCTTTCGTCACCCTAATACAACGAAGTAGAAGTAGAAGTCGTTGACATTGAAAGGAAGGTATTAGAGAGATAGATTAGCGGAGGACAGGAAAGTAATATGGAAGTAAAAGGTTTTTTTAATACGATTGTATTATAAGTGACCTCCTATTTTCACTACCACCTAGTATATTTAAAAGTTTAATTTTGGAGATTAATTTCCACATAATCAATTAAAAATTATACTTACCCTCGGCGATTTGCGCTTAACATTCTCGACGCATGGAAATCCACCACACTGAAACAAATGAAAATAAAAAGATATTAAATATTCAAAGAATAACTTTTTAGGGAAAAGTAGACATTAAACAATTTTTTCTTTGCAAAAGGACTCTTTTGAGGGGATAGATCAGATCTGATAGAAATTTACAATTCTAAAATGCCGGAATTCTATTTAACTCATTTTAATCTCATTACCATAAAAAATTGTAAGTTTCTTCAATTTTTCTTGTCTCAGGCAAAGAATGGTTAAAATTTTCAAATGATGGTAGAATAATTTTTACTGAAATTATGTACAAAATGGACCTCTTTACAAGAATCCATGCACATTTGATGCATGCTGTAACTCTTATCCCACAAAGATATACCTACGGTCCCATGAAAAAAGATTATTCGACGATCTTTCACGGTTCGCAACTTGAGTTAGAAAGAGGGATATCTTCAAAGAGCTTACAATGCGATTTTCACCAATCCTTTTTCACCCCAACCGTTTTCGTTCTTCCGTGTTATCGCTGTATACGTGCCAGCCATGTCATATCTAGCGGGTGTGCGTGATAAGATAAGTTATAACCTTTGAAGCTGAATCATCGTGTCATAAAAAACTGATGAGCTCACGGCACGGCAGACGATTTCGCTAATTAATGAGTAATCGCTCTTCTGAATCTGAAATTGACCTCGTTAATTATTCCGCTTCCTATGAATTATTCTAACAGCTTCATTTCGGATGAAATTCCATTTCAATATAGTTAAAATAATACATTATATAAGTATTCATTGTTACTCGGAGAGTAACCAATTTTTGGACGTTTTTATGTACAGTGGCCTACATTAACAATTATTGTTCAACGTGAAATAAAATTTTTTACTGGAATATTTTGCACCACTGAATTCATTTTTATTTCAAGTTGAAATTAGTATTACATGAGCTGTCTGGTTAAAATAAAAAGAACGAAGTTGAAAATTTCTGTTTACAACCTAATATATTCGGTATTGTCAAATTTAAAAAGAAATTTTTGAACGAATCAAAACTAAAATAAGAAATGTGAGATTCCATTTATTTAACATAGTTAGAAAAAAATTACTTCTAAAATCTCATGATGCTCAAATATTAATGATTGTCAATGTACATAGATTGATATGATGGAACGGTTTTAAGTTTCACGGAAGTGGAGTGAAACGATGGATTTAGGTCGAATGATAAATCCCATGCGTAGGAATTTTCCCGGAGAGTTGAGAGCCCTAATCGAGAAAAATGAATATTAATGGAGCGCGTTTATGCGGGAACGTTAAACTCTCTAACTGTCGTTAATTACATTTCAACTTTTCCAATTTGGTCTACGGTAAATATTGCCACGTACCGAGAGTTCGCCAGTTTTAACTAGCTCGTTATCGCGCACGATATTCATCGTTCCCAGTTGTATCACTTTTCCTTCCGGAATTTTCTTTCTGAAAATGGAATCTTTCGATTTGCTTATAAATTTGACACGGTAGATCTACCCATTCGGTTTCTTCAGTTTTCGTATTTTTGATGTTAATGGGATGAAAAATAAGGTTGCTTAGCCAGTTTAGCGAGTGCCAGTTAACCAGGCCTGATTCAGATAATTTAACTTAAGGGTTTAATATTCAAAGAATATTCTATACGTAGAAAGGCAGAAAGAAAGTTCAACATGGCAATATCAACTACGCACAGTTCGATATTTACGATTGATCTTTATTGTCGGTAGAACGAGGCCGTTTCATGCGTCAAACATGCTTGTTAAAGCATGATTGTACCTATTCCAGAACAACTCGACAAGGATATATCACCGACTTCTGTCGTAATCGTGATTCATAAAATCCTGTTGCCTTTGTTGGTGATACAAACGTACCCTGCTCGTGTTCAATAAACCTTAAAGCAGACTCTATTAATAAAGTCTGATAGTTTAGTTTTACGTTATTCATTGAATTATTACGAAACAGGAGCTTTACAGCTCTGTGTCGTTTGGATTTTAATAAGGTGTTAATTTTAAATTATTATAAAATAATTTTTAATATTATTAAGTGAAACATACTGAGAGCGGCTTAAACAAAAAATACTTCTTTGTTCGTCGTTAACTGTAACAAAACAGTGGATGATAAAATGATAATTAAAGGCCAACAAGCGGCCTGTAAATCTATATGATGCAATTAAATGCAATTAAATGCAATGAAAACAGTTAGAATAGGGAGAGTAATAACAGAAGAGAGCGGAAACCACTTTCCGGAAAGTTTTTTTCGATCTGAACCAACAGCCTTATCTAGCTTGGAGAACGGATGTGTCGGTGTTTACCCGATTCGCACTCACATCCCCGTAAATTCCCTTTTGTTTATCGTCACACTCGCCCCTGTTCGCACTTTTTCAACCTCGTCTTTTCCCTTTCCACCTGTGTCCGCGTATTTTTTGCTCTAATTAACCGCTACCGTCCTCGTTTCAAATACACCCTTTACATACTACCATCTACCATTCCTTTTTCTTTTCTTTATCATTAAATGTTTTTCTTTCTACAAACATGCTTAAAGGTAGGTACATGATGTGTGTAATTGAAACAGGCGAACGAACAGCTATCGTATAAATTCAAATTGTTCAAAGGTAAATAAAAAAATCGAAACGTCCCATCATTTGTGGATCAGAGTGTACATACGTTGTAATCTTGAACAAATGTTTTCCCAGACAAATTAATAGGAAGTGTGAATGCTAGATTACACAGAAAATGGAATTATCAAAGTTCTCTGCGATTCTCATTTCCACGTTCACGAGGAATTTACTCTCGCAGCCTGGAGCATGACTTGACTCGTACAAAAGCATTCGAAGCTTGTTGACTTGTAACAGCTGGCTAAAGGACTTGTAAAACGTGACCTGCACTTCGAAAGAGAAGATTATTCGTCACAGTCAGCAGAAACTGAAGAGTACCGAGACAAATTGTGATTGATAGAGCAGACTGACTCGAACAAACTGAAATTGACTAATTTTGTAGCAGTTACGTTCTTATATAGACGTACATATGTACACGTGACTTATTCCCTTCTGCTTTATTACATTTTTTTTATCAATCGTAGCTACTACGATGTTACTACAGAAAAAGGAACAAGACTTTGGACGAAAAGCAATTTTTCCCTTTATCAATTTTCATGCAGGGTGTTCGTTCAATTTCAAACGTAACAACAGCTGGAATATCTTGTAAATAATTTATTTTAGAAAAATCCTATTTTTAAGTAGCTTACAAAAAGAAGAATGAAAAAAAAAAATTTTGCAATATCTGAAAGATATTCTATTTAAGTATAGTATTAGTCGACTGCTTGAAAGTCGAAATGGAAGTAGATACTCGTATTCAAGAGCCTTGCATTGAATGAAAAGGAGCAAGCGGTACACTTCAAGTGTATCGCGTGTGTACTTGGAATCATAGAAGATTTATAGTGTACGTGGGTGTATAATGTTTGTGGTTTATGAAGAGGCGGACGATGAATATGCCGGTTGAAATTGCGACATCTCGAAATATCCTGTCGTCTTTCACATTTCGGTTATTAAGTTTCTGCTGCGGTAGAAATATGAACGTCCTTACAATTTTATTTAACATATTCACTGTTCAGTAAAATAAAGAATTCTGTGATTGGTGCCGGTTGACAGAATATCTATCAATCACCCTATGCATACTGAAAATTGAAAATCGTCATTTGTACGATGGACGAATCAAGAGAAGGCATATTTTTTTACGATCACCTTGAAACTGTTCGAGCGAGAAGATCGTTTAGAAGGAAGGGAGCGAGCAAGTGATCTGAAGACCGAAGAGGGGTTGCAGGTGACTCGATAAAAGGAATCGCGCGGAAACGGTACCTATAAAGGACAAGCCTGGAGGAAAAGAAATAGCATCTCGGTTGTTCCAGGTGGCGGGAGTAGACGAAGACGTATCGATTATCTCGCTCGACTTTGCGCAAACGAGACCGCAGCGGCGCGAAAATACGATCGAAGATAAAACCACGTTTCCTCCATTCCAACGAGGCCGAACGTAGAAGCGGAAGGACGAAAGCAAGATAGACGGGAAGGGGGTTAGCTTGGTTAAAGTCTTCCCAACGGGGCTTCTTTTCATCCTCGGAGGATAAAACTCGAGGGACGACGACTTAATCATCGATGGGCAACGACTTTTTCTTGGATCCAACGAAAGAATAAAGAACTGGCGCATCGCCTAACGATCGTGAATCCTTGGTTGAAAAATAAAAAAAGAAAAAAGAAAAAACGAGTTCAACGGGAAGACAGGTCATCGTCGAAAGAATTTCTGTGCCGGATTACCGGGAACAAATCAGCAGTTTTGTAACAGGAAATTCAAGTAAACATCGATCTTTGTTGAATCCTGGTTATCCTTAACGAGCAACGCCCGTTCAACTCGTAATTGATTGTATTACATGGAGATTTATCGATGTCTCTTTCTTTTATTGTCTCTTGAATTATTGAAGGAACAGGAGCAGTTCTTCGATCCTCATCGAAGCTAATTGCAATGCTGATGAAATGTTGGAAATATTTCATTTTTGAACACAGTTTGCATTTGGTAAATAAAATCGCGTCGACTCTCGACAATTAAATTACTCGCATATCCCATAAAATGAAGGCATCCCATCCGTGTCAGCCAAAATTGATCGAGTACAGAGAGACAGGAAAGGGTGAAAGTAAACCGGATCGGGAAAGGGTTAACCCATATCCCCGTAGCTCGATATCAGCATCGTTCTTCATTTTTCCTAGCCGCTCGTCTTTCCCACGTCGAATTACGCGATTGAGCGGCAGCAAGACAGGAAGAAGCTCCGAGCACCGAATTTATCGAATTTCTCCGGGGAGCCAGCCAATGGAGCTGCTTTAACGTTCGAGATTCTGGACGGCTGCTAGTGCGACAAGACGTGTCGTCCAAAGAGGAACAGCCAGAGGAAACTTACTGTATAGTAAGTGAAACACATAAAAGTGCAACAAGGTAGCTTTCGAAGAAAACATAGAGAACTGGATATATACTACATATATGGGAAAGCGAAGAAATCAATGATTTATAAATAATCGTAACGTCAGTGGAGGGTGTCCAGATCGGTTTCCTTGCTTCCGTTTGACTCTCCGAGCTACGGTATTAAATTGCTATTATATCGGTGCTGAGTGGAAGTCACCTTGGTAGAGGAAAAGAACAAGGTGGAAAAAGGGAGTCGAGTTAAGGGTGAAAGAAACGAAGGGCCTCGAGCATGCTGGTACATATAAGGTATCGTTTGAAAAGAGACTCGATGGCAGTCGAGTCCAGACTTCCACTTTTACACATTTTTCTCCGATCTCCTTCATACATGCTACTGCGATTCCCTGCCCTCCTACTTTTGCTTCCGCCTTTTCTTTTCTGTTCGATAAGAATACAGTGACTTTAGGTGGTTGCCCGGCCCGCTTCTTGACCTCTTTCGAATCGTCTTATAATCTCAGCAGTCTACCAGAATAAAGAATTTCTGAAAATTATGTAAAACTTGTGGACAGAGAGAAATATTTATTCACAGAAAAAATGTAACTGTTAAAGGAAAGAATTCAGTGATGTTATAAATCAACTACGAAAGAATTTTCTACCGAGATAAACGAGCGTCACTTAAAGACAGACAGAGGGGAGAGGAACGTTTCAAAGTGTAACAAAGAATGGAGTGGTCGGAAAGTTTCGTGCTGTGGCGTATACATATAGAGCATATAGAGCATATAGAGCATATAGAGCATATAGAGAGAATTCTACGAGCCTCGGTTCGTATTTTATTGGGATCGTGTTGTACGTTTCGTACAAAAGGGAGCAGCTCGGTCATCACAGAATGGGGGAAGGCTTTAGATCGTTCCCCGAAGGTAGCAAAAGGGAGGAGACGAGAGTGAATTACACAGATCCGGAAGTCCCGCGCTCGGGGAATATGGCGGGAATTTCGCCGGAAGCGGAAAGCATTCCCACTCTTCCGCGTCGCAACCGCGGCCTGGTCTGTTCGGGGAACCACCGACAAAACCGAGCATCGTTTCTCCGTCCTCGTAACTCGCCTCGCCACCGACCACTGTGTCCGGCTGTTTCAAGTTCCCGCTCTTTTCCGATCCGCTGAAAAAGTTTCACAGAAAAATCCTTGCCAAGTATCCAAAATATATTCAAAGTTTTCTTTCAAATTATTTTCTACACTTGATGTTTCATACAATCGTGATTGTTCGTTGATTTATTACAAGTATACACACAATCCTCGAATGAAGACACCTATGTGTTTCCCACTGTTATTACCTATACGCGGAGATATACACAGAGCTGTAGCATAATCGATTAAGAAGCACATTGGTATTCCACGATTCTGCTTGTCCTGAATCGCCACTCAGACAGGCGCTCGAATGCAAATCGAGGACGCTTTGCTGCCAGCCCGATGCACGTATTAAAACGCAAATACACGATCCTGCAGCCATGATGCCGCCCCCTTCTTGTAATTACATTGGCATGAAATTGCTTCTCATAATCACAAACCGTTTCAACATCTTCGCCGTGCTGAAACTTTCGCGAGAGTTGAACGAAACGTTTCGCTCACGGGGATGTTTTCATCGATTGCTCGACTAGTTTCTTCGAGTGATGAATTTAATTAGTTTTTCGGGTTAGGGTATCTTTTTAATACGTTGACTAGCATGGAAACTAAATTGGAGAAATTTTGAAACTGGTTCAAAGTAGGTAATAGTAATAAGGATTGAAATATTTAATGAGGATGCTACTTGAAAATATTAGAGGCAACGATGGCCCCCTATTTTTATATTTCTTACTGAAATCTAGTTCACAATTCAAACTGTTTTAAAGTTTGCTTGAAATGTAGCTAAATTAATAAAGTTATCCGTCATAAAATGTGATATTAAAAAAAAATACGAAAACGAAACTGTATTACAAATTTAACTTGTTTCGTTTATTTAATAAACCACATGTTTTTCCTGGTCAAAAATGTGTTGTCATTACAGGGAATTAAGTGGAAAGTAATTTGATGGGATTGTTCCATTGTCACTAGATCGAAACTAAAACTCATTAACCAGTCAAATTAATTACCGGTCTAATATCTCATTTCGGCGAACGGTTGAACTTTTCAGCAAACAGAATCACATCGAAACTATAGATTGATCGGGGAATATTATGGCTTCGTGAGTGATAATATTTGATCGTTTTTCCGATACCTTTAATTAATTGCATAGAAAGTTTTGCTTTCATTGCGATCGGCCCTTTATTCTTGGGAGATTGACGACTTAAATAAACATTCCATTGAAAATTCTCGAAAAGCTTATGCTATTTGTGTTTTTCACAAAAATTTATGTTTTCATAAATTATTTTCATAAAAGTGTCAAAACAAGAAATATCTTAATTCTTAACACGTTCAATGTTACCGATGTGTGCACTAGGCAACATGTATCATGAATTAACAGTAGGTACCTGTCCTGCATAACTGTACCTAGTACGTACAAGAAACGTAAACACATTTATCAATCTCTTTAAAGGTAAATTTCGCACATCCTTCGATACACGGAACTGTAGATACGCTATTGATCGACATATAATCTACAGATCCATCCATCATAGTCCACTCGTTGATAGATCATGGTCGTGTTATCCGTTATGGTGACAGTGATAGGGCAAACCTGTTACCCTTGGAACTTTTAATGCAGATGCTTTCGTTGGTCAAAGGAATTATTCGACACTGTAACTCACAGATTGGTTTCTTTGTTTAAAGATAAAAAGTTCATGAAGAGTTTTAACGAAATGGATATCATTAATGTTCAGGGTATTTATGTTTCGAGATTACAATCAGCGGTTCGCGAGTAATGATCTTTCCTGAATTTATCCCTTTGTCCTTTGCGCGCAATTACAACGTCCCTTTTCCGAAAAATTCACTAACGCGAGATGGTATTAATTGCATCATCAGATTAAAAATATTAATCAAAGTTCGCGTGCAAACTCGTTGAATAATTACATGGCGCACCGCTAATTGCTTTATCGAAAAATGAAATAAGTTTCGCGAGTATTGGTGGCGATTAATCTACGACGATCAGTCAACGTCGAAGCAACGACTTATCTTTCCGGCAACGATATCCTTTCCCCGTCTATTAATCACACTTATCGTCTTTTTCGTTTCTTCCTTGATCGGCGCGGCGCGGTGCGGCCCGAACGAAACAGCAGCCACCTCGATATCGTCGGATTGAAACTCGAAAAACACTGTTCAAACATGCATAATTGATAGCCTGTCACCTGTACGCAGCTTGCATGCATTAACTTATCTCCGTTGCAGCTTATTGCGCTGCATTATGCTCAATAGGATGTCCCAATATTGATAGTATAAGCGGAAAGATTATAAAAAGGTTCATAGTTTTGTCAGATATTTTCAATTCGAAAGTAGGATAATTTTTTTTTTTTTTTTTTTTTAATAAAAATTTTAAATATCTCACGAACTGTTGACTTCTTTAATACTGTACTCGGTTTGCTTCCTAAATGAGCACGATATACCTATGTATAGATGAATTCTTCGGAATATTTTACGTAGAAAATAATAATTTCGTATTGTACTCTCTGTACATTTGAGATATTCGGTATAGCAAACATGTATTATAAGCAATAATAAATATGCTAAGTACATTCAAAGATGAAAACATCGTAATCGGTTTTTCGAAACTCGTAACCTATTAATATTCCCGGGGGATATTAAACGTTTGGATCAAGGATCGAATATCGTCAGCCTTACGAATCGATCTTCCGCTATTAAGATGTTGTAGAAGCCGGATATTAAAGCGGATAAGCGATGGCTTTAGATTTTTATCGGCGAGCTCGATTTATTACTGAAAAACTTCCTCTAAAGCCTGTGTTTATGGCTTTTATATAACCATATATATTTTCTTCATTCTTTCGTGCATGCAATTTATCATCTTCATGGACTCTCGTTTGTTGCACAAGTTTATTAAAGAACACGAATGTGTCGTTTACTCTTATACTTGAATTTTATACTCAGATGCTGACAAGAAATTCAATGACGTAAGTGGTAAAGTAATAAATTGCTTTATTGATAATTCAATTACCAATATTCTCCACACGGTCTGCTAACGAAGGCGTCTAACGAACTCGAAGAGACATTGTAAAGACAAATAGTGAAATATTTGTGAAAAACGCGTTCACATACCTTGGCATCCCGACTCTTCATCTCTTGTCTCTTAGGCACGGTACTCTCGCCATCGGCGTACACGAGGTTCCTGATGAAACCGTTGAACCTTGGCTCAAAAATCACGCTCGGCAAGGCGAGCAACGTGAGCTTGCTATTGTACCAGCTGGGCATACCGCCCACGTAAACATCGGAATTGCCCGTCAGTTTGCCGAACTCGAATTCCTTGCCTCGCGACGTTGAGACTGCGCTGACACCGTCTACCGTCAGCGTGGTGTTCTCGTTGAACCTGGTGATCTGCACCTTGTGCCAGTGGCCGTCGCCTAGATCGTGGCCGACGGTGACGATCTGGGCGCCGCCGCCAAGGTTATACCTCAGCCTCAGCGCACTCTCGACAAGTTTCACCTCGAAGAAATCGTATGTACCGCCGTCGTCGGTGTAGAGAAGCAAACCGTTGCCCTGTTCGGTCTTGAACTCGAACTCCAGCGTGCCGTTCAGACCTGCGTTCCATTTGCGGAACTGAGCATAGCTGGTGGACGAACCTTCCAAGACGAAGGACAAGGCTACCTGGCCAACCAATACCACCAGCAAAGGCAACAGCGCGCCCACGTTGCTGGACACCTGCGAGGGATGCATGCTTCCTGTTCGTAGCTAAACGATCGCGATTTTCAGCGGCGTCGCTTCAACGGTTAATCGGCCTTTTTTATTGTTCGTCACATCACCAGAAGAAAGGCTGTTTTTCGGGCTGTTCGCGAGGATATCAGACTCGAGTACCTCCGCTGGTTGTGTACTCACTAGCCACGTTGTACCGGCTTCATTCGCACGTGAGCACGCACGCGCCGATCACCTTCGACTATGAGCGTGCCCGACCAATGTGGAAAGAGAGAGTGACTCTGCACACGTCCCTGTGTAATCCCGCTATCCTCTTCGTTGTCTCTTTATCACTAATACGGATCAATCGAAAATCAGCAATACCGATCAGCGAGAGTAAAATTAGCTGGATATGGATATTATTTTGTTAATTAAGAAATAGAATAAATGGATAGACGCTCGATGACACTGGACACGCTAGGAGCACACTTGACCACCGGGTTTCACATACACTTTCGATACGGTTTAATTGACCGAATACTTTTGCGAGGAGAGTATCACTTCACGATCACGTTACGCACAATTTGACAACACTAGACCGCGCTTAATCAATTCGCTTCTCCAGTAACCGGGTCAATGGAAGCTTCGATGATAGAATTTTTTGTTTATTTAAGCGCATTTTTTGCTCTAATGGCTTGTTACGAAGGAAAAATTTGAAAATTTGTCGCTTCGTGCAAAGGGAGTCTAGCTACGCTAACCTAACCTAAGGCACCTCGAGGCGCCTCGTATGTACCACGTCGGTGACACACTTTCTCCGTCTGTCCTCTCGACGTCGTCGTCTCTTCAAGCACCCCTCTCGAGTTCCTCCTCTCCACTTGGTCGATTCTCGGCGTGTCACGATAGGCCTCCTATGGTGTTCGTCCAATTACTCGTGGCTCCAGTATTTCGCTGATTCTTCCGAACGTCGATGTGTCTCTGCTACGTGACACGACCTCGACCTCCTAATACACGCTGACGCTGACACCGACCACCACTTTCACCCACGCACCCCTCGCGTTAAACTCGCGTTATTCCATTCGACGTGTCTCTGTTTCGCGCACTGTCACACGACGTTCGAACGACCGGTGTCTCGCTCGGTTTTCCACAAACAGCCACCGTGTTCCACCCCACTATGGCGCGACACCCCCGAACGGCTCTCTGCTGGCCAAAGCTTTCCTTCCTTTCCGCTCGACAAACGTTACTGCACGTCGCCGTCCATCCAGCGTACGTTTGTTTCGCGATCGATCCGTCTCTCGTGGCTCAGCGTACGCCCCATTTTTCTCGTCCAGCCCGTGGTGTTCAGCTTGTAGTAGCCAGTGTTGGCTAAAAGGTCGACCAGCAACGCTCCCGGTGACAGTTTAATCGGGATACGGTTAATCGTCGGATAGCTGGTGGTCAGAGCGTAACATCAGCGCCGATTATACGCAGGTGGAACAACCCTCTCGACGGCTCCCGGCTTGATACTGGCCTGGAGAGAGGAGAACACTCGGTTGAGACGGTCGGTCGGTTGACCGACGACGTTGGTGCGACGCCCCCGGCACGACGCCGACGCCGACGCCGACGCCTCGCGCCGTTTCCACGCGCACGCGCTCCCCGGTTACAAGCGGAACGAACGCGCGGAGAAAGTGACGGAGACGGGGGGATGCTTGATGGATCTGAGTTGGAAAAGGACAGAGGAGCTTTTGAAGATGTGGTGGCGTTATCCCTCTTCGTGTAGTCTGTCTGTTAGGCGGGTAGGCGAAGCAAAGAGCGTAACTGTGGTGGTGCGTAGACGCGAAATTGCTCGCGGCACCCCCTTCGAGCGGACGAGAAAAACGTTGGCTACGGTATGCGAGCGTTGAAAAATTGCTGGCTGAAAGCAATAATCGAGAATCGAGAGATTGTTTCATCGTGCGTTCGGTTTTACGCTTTGACTCGACGCTACGCGTTCTTCCTGACCAGCCGCGGCGGATTCGATTCCACCATTGTCTGCAGAGTAATAACTCCGTATAATAATATGATATTGGAACGTTTCGACAAAGAACTTTATTTAATTAGAGTCTGCATCGATGTTCCCTAATTGACACTCGATCCCTGACGACCAGTGTTAACGATATCTCGGCAAATACTCTTTCACTCGAGATTCGATCCTTTTTCCAGCAGCACGAAGCCACTCGTTGGCTATAAAAGACCGCAGAGAGAAAAGGGTGGAGGGATGATGAAGGGTAGCGGAGAGGGTTGGAACGACGTTAGCCATCTTGGCCGTTCGTGTTGTATCGTTCTCTCGGATCGGTGCCTTTCACGGGCTTGTGCCATGCTTTCTCAGCACTGGCTGGTTACGTCGGTTTCCACCTTCTGCCAGACACCTACCATCTTTCTACTTACCTACGTTACCCCTGCAACCACCTTTGTACGCTACTTCCCTGGCCTTCTACACCCCCCTTTTATTCGAACACTTGCTCCGTTCTTCCAACTCTTCCATCTTCCGACCTTTCCTTCCGGATCCCTTCTCACATTGCTGCTTTTCCACTTCGTTTCAGTCTTTTACAGCCCGTTGAAAAACTATCGAACACGGCTTAAAAACACGACTCTACACGCGAGCTGTTTCCAAGCTAAAATGACCAATTTCGTTTTCTTTATCCTTTCTTCTTCTTCTATATGATAATAATTATCGTTCTTTCTCCGAGGATGGCCGACTGCAAAACCGTGAATCGTCGTTTCTAACGTGTTCAAATATTTACAAAGTATCACCGGGAGTTCCGAAGCAGATTATCGGAGCTAAGTTACAAATGAGAATCTGTGGATGAAAGTTCCTTCGAGCTTCCTTCCTTTCTCTCTCTCTCTCTCTCTCTCTCTCTCTCTCTCTTCCTGTTTCTTTCTACGCGACGGCAGAAAAATTATTAAGACTTCATTTAAATTTCATTCCAGCGTGGAAACTTTGTTACCGGTGATATGCGCTCGGAAGTTGCTTCTTCTTGATATGGCAGACAAAGTTTCTTGCTTCGACGCATTATGTAACGCTAGGATTATTTGCGGCTTGAGCAGAGTAATCTGTACACGTTGATGCATCGAAATTCTCCTCGTAAGACCGAGTTTCCATTGTCTAAATTGCGTTCAAAGACTTGTCGCAGGCGTTTGTTAATTAATTGCCTGCATCCTCGTAGAATATTACTTGTTGATCAATTACGATTTCTGCAAAGTGTTTTCAAGATTTTCAATCGGTTCACGTTTTGCATGAACAAATCTGATTTCCATGGAGAATCAACGATCTCGCATGGTAAAAAAAAAATTTTTTTTACAATAGAATGTATGGGACCCGTAAGAGAGTAACGTTACACGATATAAAACGGTGAAATGAAACGGAGAAAAAGTAATCCCTTAGGGCTGGAACTTGACAAAAGAGGGTATAAAGAGAGAAAAAAGACGCGGCCAAAGAGTAGAGAGTGACGGGCTAAAACGACCGGTATTATTCAATCTTGCTGAATGAATCTACCTTCTACGTTCCTAGCTGATTTGCATTTGAATGATCAAGTGCACCGAGAAATAAGTAAACCGGCTTCGTTGCAATTGAAACGTTTGCATACATTTCAATGATTGTGGAAAATTTCAGTTTCTTGCAGCGATGGAAACTTTTCAGAACAGATCATCTTGAAATATGATCTTCACGCAAAATGCTTTCGCAGGAAGGTGAAATATCACGGAGATAATTGAACCTTTTAAATGTTGAATAATTCACTTTATAAAATATTACTATTATTATTATTATTGCAATTTCATTTTTCAAATATCGTCATCGATACCGGTCACTTTTCTTTGGTCCCGTACACCATTTCCCAACAATAATTATAAAGCCCACGTTGCCCTACGCTGCTGGCGTGTAATTAACCTACAAGCGACAACGCCATTTCCTTGAAATGGAAGAAATTTAAATACCAATAACCAAGCCCGCTGGGTGTCTTGGCGAGCTAGCTGAGTGGCTCGCACTCCAGAATCCTGGAGCAATCTAACGAAAGAACCAGATGCTCCGGAAAGCTTTATCAAGCCACGCTCCGAGGATTTTGCTCGAAAGTGAACATTTTATTTTCTCTTTCTCCGTACAGGCTGTTTCATAACGTGTAAGTCCAAGAGCAGCGACACACAATGGGACGAAACGAACTAGCGACACGATAGAGATAATTATGCCAGAAATTCTGGCATAAATTCAAAAAAGAAAACCATGCATTCGTTTTAACTGGTTATAAATTTTCTGATATTTTATTATCACTGAATTTATTATCGATTTTTAGTAAGATTATAAATAAAAAATTAATTAGGCCTTCTCGGAATTAATTCTAACTAACAATAAGATATGACATTATCAAAGAGCAGAATACGGAAATCTAATAAATGCGTTTAATGTATGAATGTAGATAGATTCAGTTTTCGCTATTCTACATATATAATATTAATCAATTAAATTTACTTTGTTATTGAAACGATGGGTAGCTCGATATTCAGATGCTTTTCCTGACGTCTCGCGATTGAAATGGAAAGCATGAAGCTCGAAAGCCTGTCAATTTCTCTGTTTGATATTTTTAAGTAGGAAGGGACCAGGAACGAGAGAAACACAAGTACGTCGGTAGTTATTAAAAAAATGAGGTCGAGGTGAAGCAGACAGTAAAACTGATATCGCTGTGACTGCAGAATCGGTCGTACATACGTTTAATATAAATTCCACGCTCGAAAAGAAAATTACGTCCTCTACGTTAAGCGATATCGAACGTTGAATTATACGAGAGAAAAGAATTGCTATTCGAACTGATTATTTCACCATGGTCGTATCGTTAAATGTCGTCAAATGTATTTATACGATACTTTTATATTTCAATGTGCTTGCATGTATCAATACATGACAATTATAAAAGAATACTGCTATTATCTGCTGAAAATTTCAAGATATTCCAGTTCTGTCTGACTATTGAGCTACTTATACTACTGAAAACTGCATGGAACGTAAGCACTAGTATATTAATCCTCGAACGGCGGACCATTGAGAGAGTCCCAATTTCAATTTAATTTTGTATTTTGTTTTTAAAACTCTGCACTGTTAATTTAAAAATTATTTTTCCAATATATGAAGCCCTTCCGTTTAAATATTATACATTCAACTTTAGCTTAATATCCTTGTATATTTTTTGTAAGGTTCGATCTCGATTTACCCAGACTCTGCTGTTCAAAGGTTAAATAAATGATTGCAAAACATGACAAACAATTTTTGGATGACTTTAAATTTCAAATTTACATAATATAATTGTCATTACGTATCACTTTTTTCTCATAAATAGTGTTAAATTTTCAGTGTTCTAGAATGAATTCAGTTTTCAGTAGTATAAGTAGCTTATTAGTCAGACGCAATTGAATATTTCGCATTAACGTTTCATTACCATAAAATATTCTTACCAAAACTTGCTTATGCATTCAAAAAAGGGCATTATAAAATATTATAATATTATATTATATTAAATTTAAAGAAGGAATTCCTAGAGAATCGGTTAGATGATACTATAGTTATAAGAAGCTGAGCAATATAAGGTTGTGGCAAAAAATAAATTTTCCTTTTCTACGAAAGGCTAAAACCTGACATTCCCCCTTTTTCCCATGGATTTTTCCATGCTTTCAATCGAAGACTGCCTTCGCGTTCCACATCCTTCTCTCTTAATTTTCTGAAAATCACCTCTAATTCCGGAGACTAAGTCCTTAGCCACTTTGCTTTTAACCGAAGTGATATAAAGGCGGCGGGGCATTCAAATATCGAGAAATAAATGGAAGCGGAGAGGCAGGGTGATCAGAGCTCGATGCAGATGAGAAGGGACGTGAATAGAGGGGACACGCCAGGGGAAACCGGAAAATAGTTCCTGTCGAAACCACGCGACAGGAACGCATATCATTGACCCGCCCTTTCGATTTCTCATTTTCTCGGGATCGTGAGTGGACTGCGATCGGTGACTGCGAATAATATCTCTCTTCTTTTTCTTTCCTTAAAATAACATTCGCAAAACTTCTGTGATAGATTATATAAAATTTATATTAGAATTATATCGTTTTACGATACAATACATATATCGTTGTTATTGCAATGTAAATAATCCCTAATCTAATTTAATTAATGACGATAACGTGATGTGTAATATTCATCGCGGTCGTGGGGAATGTTGTGGCCACCTCGTCGATTCAAATTAATTCTGTTAATCACTGCGTATAATATTACGAATTGCTGAATATTGATTTTCACGGAATCAGTAAACAATTATTTGTGCATGCGGTTTAGATATTAATATTATACACAATCAGAAATTGCGTTTCAATATCAGTTAAAAATAGATTCTTCTTCTTAAAAAATTGTGAAATTTAATTTTCTCAAAACAGCGGTGCCTGGGTCATTCGTAACCGAAATTTACAAAATATATAATTTTTAAACGATAGAGTTCCATATATTGAAAGAATAATTTTCAAAGGGACAGTGTAAAATTAGAAAATGAAAACAACGATA